CCCGCTGGGCCGCGTTTATGTGTAATTCTCCCCCACGTTCCTGGTGGTGGTGATGGGGTGTTCGCTGTGCTGGGGGTATCCCGTGGCTGCTGGGCTCTGCCGCACACACCCTGTGCTAGAAACGCTGTGGGTTTTGTGCTGGAAAGTCGCTGCTTTTTGTGCCGAAAACGCGGCCGGTTTTGCCAGTGTGAGCTGAGGAGAAGGGGGGCTGCCAGCTCTGCCCGTGCTGAGCACAGGGAAACGTCACCGGTCTTTGATCACAGGTGGGGAAGATCCATCTTCTCACAGCTGAGGCTTGCACTTCTCTGAATAACTCACTCCCTGAATAACTCACATCCCTGGATATGCCAGGGAAAAGCTTGGAAAATCCCCTGGTTTTAGAGGTGCTTGGAGCAGGCAAGGCCTTGCCTGGCTTCTGCACAGAAAGAGCAGAGAGATGCAGCCTGATAACTCCTAAGACAGGTGGCCTAAAAGCTTTAGATTTAGGAGAAGGGCCTCCTGCAAAGTGCTGTGGGTGTGTGGGTGATTCTGCCAGGGATGCTTTTGCTTGGAGAACACTGTGGGTTGGATTCCTTCCGGCTGGAAAGTGGGGTTTGCTTCCTGCTGGAGACTTCTGGGCAGAGGGTGCTGCCTTGGAAACAGGCCTGGGATGTAGAGGCTGTCAGAGGTGAGCTGGGCACCTGTAAATGACCTTTCCAGGTGGTTCTCGGTGTGGGAAAGGGCTGCCAGCTGTACCAGCTGAAGCTGAAATTATCTTTGATAGGGTTAGAAGCTGCTTTGGATCAACCATGTACCTTCATGCCTATTTTTATGGTTGAACTTTGCACTCTTTTCTAGCATGTGGATATGGAAAACTCCTATCTCTGTGGATACTTGAAGATTAAAGGCCTTACAGAGGTGAGTGTTAACTGCAAAACACCACAAAAAAAGTGCTGTTTAAAGGCTCTCTTTTTTTTTTTTCCCCTGGTGTGGTAGGAGAAGCTGCTGCCAGAAGTGGGAAGTGGAGGGATTGAGCATGTTGTGGATTTGATCATGGGGTACCCCCTGGGGAGTGGTGCTGGCTGTAAATGTCACTGGTGATTGTCCAGCTGGGAGCTTCAAAGGATCATTGAGGTTGGAAAAGCCCTCTAAGATCATCCAATCCAACTATTAATCCAGCACTGCCATGTTACCACTAAACCATGTCCCCAGGTGCCACATCCACATGTTTTTTGAACACTTCCAGGGGTGGTGATTCCACCACTGCCCTGGGCAGCTCTGCCAGTGCCTGACCATGCTGTCAGTGAAGAAATTTTTCTTAATATCCAAGCTGAACCTTCCCTGGCACAACTTGAGGGCATTTCTTCTTGTCCTGTCCCATGTTCCTGGGAGCAGAGCCTGACCCCTACCTGGCTCCCCTCTCCTGTCAGGGAGTTGCAGAGAGTGAGAAGGTCCCCCCTGAGCCTCCTTTTCTCCAAGCTGAGTCCCCCCAGCTCCCTCAGCTGCTCCAGACCCTCCCCTGCATTTCAGCTCTGACATGGCTCCTTCTGGCTTTAGGAAGCAAAGAGAGAGGCAGAAAAGGGCTGGAATAAGAGGTTGGAGGCTGTGGCTGTGGAGTCAACCTTGGAGAGGTGTGGGGCAGGAGGGACCTTGGATTTCTGGGAGCTGTTGCTGTGATGCTTTTTGCTGAGTGCATGGAACTCTGTCTGCGTTTGGGTTTGTGTCTGTAGGTGACAGTTCTGACCCCACCTTTGTCTCTCTTCTCTCCCAGGAGTACCCAACCCTCACCACGTTCTTTGAAGGCGAGATAATCAGTAAGAAACACCCGTTCCTAACGCGCAAGTGGGACGCTGATGAAGATGTGGATCGTAAACACTGGGTAAATAAATCTGGGATACGTGTGGGTCTGGGCAGCTGCTTTGGAGGAGAAGTGTGCCCGTGGAAGAGCTGTCAGAAATGCTTGGAAACCTCTCATTTTTGGGTGTTTCCCTCCCTCCCCGACTGGGAAGTCACTTCAGCAAGCTGTGATCCGTGATGAGGGAGGGGACATCTTGTTTTGCACTTGCTGGGGTTAGAAGGGAGCAGGAGCAATCCCCATCTCTTGACCCCCTAAGAGAACACACTCCTTATTTTTGAAGAAAAAATGGAATGGAGAAGGGGAGAGGGACCCCTCTGGCAGTTGGTACCTCTCTGTCTGCTCAGGGCAGGGTGTTGCTGCTGTTGTGCTCTGGGGCCACAGCAGCCGTGACCTTGCTGTTGTTTGCCAGGCTTTGATGTTTATTATGCTTCTGTCAAAATATTTTCCTCTGGAATTGTAGGAGCTTCTCTAGCTAGCCTGGATATGGCTGTGGGTGTCAGTAGTTTTTCCCTCCTAAACAACAGCTGGCATTAGAGCTCTAGTCCTGGAATAAGCAGCCTGTTTTGTTTTTGGTTTTTTTTCTTCATTTTTGTTTCAGGGAAAGTTCCAGGCTTTTTACCAGTATGCAAAAACATTTAACTCTGATGACTTTGATTATGAAGATCTGAAAAATGGAGACTATGTCTTCATGAGATGGAAGGTAAACTCTGCGTGTCTCCTTCTCTGATGAGCTGCTTGCAAGCCACTGGCAGAGGCTTGTGGTGCCTGAAAGCTTTTTCAGCTATGATGATTTAATGAAGGATCTCACCCTGCCAACCCCAAAACCCACTGTACTTGCAAGATGCAGTGTGACTCGTGTCTAGCCAGCTAATTGTGTCCTTAAGGGCTGCAGTCATGGCTAAAAACACAACAGGAAAATCTTGCTTGGTGGTGGTTCAGAGGATGAGAGAATTGGTTTCTCCAGCCACGGTGTGGGGCCTGTGTGTGTTTGATGTAGAGTGGCCACTCTGCACCTCTGTTTGTCAGCTGGGATCATCAGAGAGTCACCACAGAATGGGTTGGATTGGAAGGGACATAAAGTTCATCTGGTTCAACCCAGGGACACCTTCCATTAGACCAGGTTGCTCCAAGCCCTCTCAACCTGGCCTTGGACACTTCCAGGGATGGGGCAGCCCCAGCTTCTCTGGGCAACCTGTGCCAGGGCCTCACCACCCTCACAGGGAAGAATTTCTTCCTAGTATTTAATCTAAATTTCCCCTCTGTTGATGTGAAGCCATTCCCCCTTGTCCTGTCCCTCCATGCCCTGGTAAATGTCTCTCTCCAGCTTTTTCACAAGCCCTCACAAGTTTTGAAAGGCTGCAGTAAGATCTCCCTGGAGCCTTCCCTTCTTTCTCAGGCTTTGATTCCTGATTTTGTAATTGGCTTCTGGTTCACAAGGGGCAGGTGTTGAACTGAAACTGGTATCCTGCACTCTTAAAACTGGTTCTGCTCTCAGTTATCCACTTCCCTGTGAGATGCCTGTGGTGGCAGGTGGTGAAGGGACACTCTGGTCTCTGATCTGGGCTGTTGCAAGTGCAGGGAGTGCTCAGCCAGGAATGTCTTCATGTTAGTGGGTGCCAATATTTGGTTTGGGAGGGCAGATTGGGGTGGGGTGGGGCTATATTTGACCAACATTTTAAAATGCAGCCTGTATTTCGTGTGCAGGAGCAGTTCCTAGTCCCAGATCACACCATCAAGGACATCAGTGGTGCTTCCTTTGCTGGTTTCTATTACATCTGCTTCCAGAAGTCAGCAGCATCTATAGAGGGCTATTACTACCATAGGAGTTCAGAATGGTAAGGAAGCTTCCTGCCTCCTGAGGACTCAAACCAAGCTGTGAGTCCTGTCCTGCTCATCCGCAGCCTTGGGAGTGTCCAGGCAGGAGGTTCAGGCTGGACCTCAGGGCAGAAGGGAGGGCTGTGGGCTGTGCTTGGCCAGAGCTTGGGGCAGCCCATTGGTGTGGTATGAAGTGCTGCCCTTTTGGCACACGGGGGGAAATTTGGGCTGGCAGGGTGGAGGAGGGGGAGATACAGAGTCTGGAGAGGATGTCAGG